TTTTGCAAACTTTTGCCGTCTTTCTAAATTCAATAAATGAGATTTTTCTCACAGAAGGGACTGGGAGGGGGTTTGGGTGGCGCTGGGAGGTGCTGGGAGGGGGCCCTGGGAGCACTGGGACCGGCCCCGCCCCTCCCAAGTGACGTCATCGTGCTGTGACGTCACATCTCTCCCTCTACCAATAAAGCGCAGTTTGGAAGCGCCGTCGCGTTACGTCACTGAGCGGGGTGGGGCCCAGAGAAGGGGCGGAGCCTCGCCCCCCACCCGACTATGATGTCATAATGACATGCAAATGAGATGCTAATTAAACACGCTCTATAAGCGCGAGGCAGGAGTGAGATGTCGGGGTCTGGGAGGGGATGGGGAGGGTCCGGGAGGGTCCGGGAGGGTCTGGGAGGGTCTGGGAGGGACTGCGCTCGACTGGGAGGGAGTGGGAGGGACTGCGAGCGACTGGGAGGGGATTGGGTGGGACTGGGAGGGAATTGGGAAGGACTGGTAAGTACTGGGAGGGACTGGGAGGCACTGGGAGGGACTGCGCTCGACTGGGAGGGGATTGGAAGGGACTGGGAGGGAAATTGGGAGGGACTGGGAGGGACTGCGAGCGACTGGGAGGGGAATGGGAGGGACTGGGAGGGACTGCGCTCGACTGGGAGGGACTGGGAGGGACTGGGAGGGGGCAAAGGGAAAAGTTAAAAATAAAACTAATTTAAAAAAAAAATACGCTCCCATTGACTAAACCTCCTTCCCGCCTCCTCTAAGCCACACCCCCTTGCGGGGAGGGACTGGGATGGTCTGGGAGGAACGGGGAGGGTCTGGGAGGGACTGGGAGGGGATTGGGAGGGACTGGGAGCACTGGGAGGCACTGGGATGGACTAGGAGGGACTGGGAGGCACTGGGATGGACTGGGACGGACTGGGATGGACTGGGAGTCACTGGGAGGCCCTGGGAGGACTGGGATGGACTGGGATGGACTGGGAGCACTGGGAGGCACTGGGGAGGACTGGGAGTCACTGGGAGGCACTGGGAGCACTGGGAGCACTGGGAGGCACTGGGAGGGGGTTTGAAGCACACTGGTCCCTTACTGGGACAAACTGGTGTGAACTGGTGTCCGTGGCTCCGCCCCCCAAGGGAGGGGCCGGGTGGGTGTGGCCTCATCTCGGCTCCACGGCTCCAATTCCAGTAGTTCCCGGCAGGTCTCCACCTGTTCCCACAGCACCTGGGGGGTGGCCACGCCCACCTCGGGCCTGAGGGGGCGGGGTTTGGTCATAAAGGGGCGTGGTTTTGCTAAAAGGGGTGTGGCTTGAGCCCGTATTGGGATAGAAGCAAAGGGAGGCTAAAGGAGGGTCGAGGTGGGCAGGGCTTAATCAAAGGGGTGTGGTTTAGCCATGAGGGGTGTGGGTTAGCAGCAAAGGGGCGTGGCTTAGTAAGAGAGGGGCGTGGCTTACCAGCAAATGGGCGTGGTTTAGCCAGAAAGGGGCGTGGCTTGCTCACCCCATGGGGAAACATAAGGGGGGGCTGAGGGAAGGTCCAGGTGGGTGGGGCCTCGCTGATTGGGCGTGGCTTTCTCCTGGGGGGTGGAGCCTCACTGAGGGGGCGTGGTTTTCTCCGGAGGGCGTGTCTTACCAAAACAGCTCCCGGGCCACGATTGGCTTCTGCCACCAGGCCTCGTCCTCGTCTAGGAGAGAAAAGGGGCGTGGCTGCAGCAAAAGGGGGCGTGGCTCAAAGGGCCGTGACAGGGATTGGGCGTGGCTCTCACCTGGCAGCAGCGTCACCTGGCGGTGGGCGGAGTCGGGCTCCCAGGTGACGCCCAGCTGGAGGCGTGGCTGCTCGGTGGGCGGGGCCTCTGTGGGGCGGGGCAGGTCCAGGAGCTTTGATACCTGTCAAGGCGTGTTGGGAGAGCCATGCCCCCATGCCCCGCCCTAAGCCCCGCCCACCCCAGCCCCGCCCTCCTGTTTAGGGGAAAGGATACCCAGGTGTGGCTGGGGCGTGGCCACCCTTCCCCTGAGCACCACGCCCCTTCCAGGGCGGAGCCATCCAGGGTCGCCGTCAGGTCCGGGCGATCCGGGCTCACCTGGGGGTGCAGAAACGGCTGGTTTTTAACCCAAAATTGGAGCTTTCCCGATCCCCAAAATGGGCGTTTTTAGCCCCAGAATCAGGTCTACCTGTTAAAGTCAATGGGGCAAAGAGGACACCAGGTCTATCCTTTAAAGTAAATGGGGACAAACTGGACATCAGGTCTACCCATTAAAGTCAATGGGACAAATGGGACATCAGGTCTACCATTAAAGTCAATGCGGATCAATAGGCTATCAGGTCTACCTATTAA